TGTAAGAGGCGTGGTGGTGCACCTCTGTAGGACCAGGCTCTGTTCCCACTTGTTCTCATCTGAGGCTTTGCTTGCCTGTGTTCGTCCCTCCCAATTACATCTATCTCGGGGAAAGATGCACTTCTGGTCCTTTAGGTGCACACTGAGCCATAGAGATTTTAAAATTGGGTGCTGTGTAGATGCTGAATGTCAAACACCCCTGGTTTCCAGCCATTTAATCTCTTCTTTCATTCTGTGCTACTTAGGCTCTTGCAGCACGGTGATGGGAAGGAAAAGCTCAGAGTCACATGAAGATTCATTATTTCTTTTTGTCACGATTGGATCAGAGTTATGGAAAATATTCCAAGTTCAAGAACTCCTGCTCCCAATTAGGCCCATATGCAGTAAGGATTACCTTTCCAAAAAGTATTTTAAATATGTTTGAGCAGGTGAGAATAGCTTTAGGAGTATTGGTGTTTTGCTGACCTCTTCCCTTTAGAGATGCTTCTATTTCTGCTACCAGTGCTGTTGCTTCACAGCTTGGAGAAGAAATGAGCTGGTAGGAATGCAAGTGAGTGCTGGAGACGGATGGTTTCCTACTCCCATAGTTGTGTTCATCTGTCTGTAGTGAATTTTCTGCTCTTGGGGCAGGGTTTTGAGCTGGGCTTTGCACCTCTCAGATCTGCTGCTTTGATCACAGAAACAAAGCATTGATGCTCTCTCAAACTCTTACTGTTGGCTTCCTTGATAGCTGTAGATGCTCTGTTACCTGGCAAGCAAAGGCAAGAAGCCATTCAGAAACAAAAGCGAGGAGCAAAACCAGCATTAAAGAGAGAAAAGGCCCAGCTGCACTGCCTACATGCAGGGATGTGGTGGAGGTGCTGTTGTCCACGTTCTGAGCAGAAATATGCCGAGGTTTCCAAACATCAGGGCAGACCAGAAAGATGCAGGTTACACCCTTTTTAATATTGTCACTTCTAATCAAAATAAAACCCGGCAGGCTAACAAATTAATCATTTTGCTGCTCTCGTGATGAGACGCTTTATCATTTGCTACTAATTGGGTACTAACTGATGGGCATATCAGCTATTTAAACAGTGCCTGCTGCCCCACCTATACTCAGGAAAAGCTCTTTTTCCCTCATAGGCTCCTGTGAACTAACACACATGGAAGGTCCTGGTAGTCATCTGCTTGCACAGATGTTGCCTTTGTAATGATTAACTGCAGCAGGATTGTGAAGGCTTGTGAGCAGCTTGGGTATGTAAGGAGCGCTCTGTTGTGCGATAGGAGCAGCTTGGTTTGCTTTGTGGGATGTGGAATTTGCACATGGCCGAGGGAAGGAGGTGAGTGCTGGTTGGTCATTAATGGGGCTGTCCTGACCCCCAAACACAGGTGGGCTCAGGCTGATGTTTTGGATGCCCCATCCCTGGAAGTGTCCGAGGCCAGGCTGGATGGGGCCCTGGGCAGCCTGGTCTGGCATTCAATGGGGAGGTTGGCGGCCCTGCATGCGGTGTGTGGGGGGGGGGGGGAGAATGGGATTTGGAGATTCATAATCCTTGAGGTCACTTCCAACCTGGCCATTCTGTGATGCTGGGGCTCTCCAGAAGGCACGATAGATGTGCCAGGCGTGCGTTCCCAACGCCAGTCCTGCACTGCAGCCACGAACCCCTTTCTTTGTGTTGCACGTGCAAGGAAAGAGGGAGATGCGCTGCCTGATGCTTTTCTTTCCTCAAGTGCCAGCCTGAGGAGCACAAGGACAGGGACACAGAATCTCCCAGTGCGGCAGAAGCACCGAGTGCAGCACAAGGGCAGGAATCGGCCCCACGGCAACCAGCCCGGCAGCGGCTGCAGGAAGGGGCTTCGTCCTGCGCCTCGGCGAGAAAGCAGAGCTGTCGACTGGGACACGAAGGAGCCGGGAGCGGCTGCGCCTTACTTTTCCCCTCCATCCGCTAAGGCGTCGGCAGCGCCAAGAAGGGCGGGGTGGGACAAAGAAGATGGAGGCCGGCGCGTCCTCCGGCAGCAGAGCCGCGCTCGGTGCCCCGCGCCCCTCCGCAGCGCCGATCTGGAGCGCGGCGCCGCGCGGGCGTTTCCCGCCCCCCCCCCCCTCTTTTGCGCCAATTCGCCCCGCGCCTCATTTGCATCCCGCCGCGCGCGCAGCCAATGGCGCGCTGCGCCGGCGGGAGCGAGCGACAAGAGCGGCTCTCTGCGCATGCGCGGCGCGCTCCGCCGCTGGCGCTGTGCCGGCGCCCGGCCCCTCCCTGCGCGGGCGGGGCGGGGCGGTGCGGAGCTGCGCGCAGAGCGAAGAAAGGCGGCGCGGCGCCGGGCTGCTGCTGACTGCGCTGCGGAGAGCCGCGCTCGCCTCCCCGGCGCTCCCCGCGCCCCTTTCCGTAGCATCGCGGTGATTTGGGCTCGTGACGATCGCTGTTATTTTATTTTTTTTGGTATTGTTTCTTCTGTTGTTTTTTTTTCTTTTTTTTCTTTTTTTTTTTTTTTTTTCCCTTTTGGGAAGCGTTTGCCGCACGCGAGACAATAGGGATACAGCATCCGCCCCGCAGCTTTTTTTATTTAGAAAAACAATAATAATAATAATAGGTGGATAAATAGAGCGGAGGTGAGCTCGCACCATGTCTTACCAGGGGAAGAAGAACATCCCGCGGATCACGGTGAGTGGGGGGCGCGGGGAAGGGGGAGGGGTGCGCGGGGATTAAAGCCCTTTGTGTGCCGGCAGCCGGGGCTCGGGGCCGGGTAATGAGATCAGCGCCGCGCGCGGCCCTTCCTGCGCCGGGGGACGGATGGGGACACGCAGCCCCCCGCCCGGCGGATCCCTCTTTCCCTTCCCCAGAAGCTTCTCGCAACGCGATCCTGGGGGAGCGGGGCCGGCGCCGTTATGTAAAGCCCCTCCCTCGCTTCCCCCCGTTGCGGGAGCCGATGTAGGGCAGGTATTGCGGCCCCAACTTTTCCTTACGTAAGGTGGGCGCTCCCCTGTTCGGAGCGCTGCGGGCATCGGCCGCTCTGTCGGCTCCCCCCCCGCGGACACACCCAGCGCCGTCGCCGTCCTAGCCGTGACAGCAGCGCTGCCCTCATCTCCCGTCGAGGTGTTTTTAGGGACGAATAAGAGCTCTCCGACCGCACGGCAGGATGCCCGCAGGGACATAACGGGCGGCGATGGTTCCCGTGGGCCGGGAGCCGCCTGACGCATTTTTGTGATGACGGAACGCTCGGATTTCCGTGCTGGATGCGCCGTGCGGGGCAGCAGCCCAGCCCCGTTCCCATCGTTTTGCTGCAAACCGCGTCCGTGCGTGCAGGTGCTGCGTCCTGCTTTTGTCTCAGGGGCGGCCGAAACGAGCAGAAGGATCCGTGCTCCTTTCAGAGCCTTCCCGAGCCCCAGTCAGCAGCAGAGCATCCTCCGGGCGAGCGGTCCGTGACACGCTTTGGCCCTCGCTGCTGGGTGCGTTGGGCTTTCTGCTGCCTGTGACGCGGGTGGCCAAAGCTCAACCCATCCCCGTAGCTGCAGCCTTTGTAGCAGCATGGGGAGCCTGCATTGGAGGTGGGCACCGACACTGCAATGCTTTTGGGAATGGAAGGCATGTAGGGCAGTGCTCTGCTGCCTGGCATTGGGAGGTGGGCAGCTTTTCTCGCCCTGAGTCAATTTGTTTGGCCATAGTGGTGTTTGTAGCTGCTACTGTGTTTAAATCTCAGCTTTTCCTTTGGTTTTGGTATTTTGGTTTTCATAAGCAGGCGTTGTTGGGGGAAGCTCTCCATTGCAGCAGGGGGAGAAAAAGGGAGGGGGAAGGAGAAGCATTTAATGTCTCCTAGAGTTGCTGCATAAAGGATGGATCTAAGGGTGTCAGTTAGGAGCTGGTGCCGTTTTAGCACTCAGACTGCTGAAAATGTGAGCTCCTTGGGAGGATGCTTGATTCCTTTCTTCTATCAGACCTAATTCAAAATAAGGGCTCCGAGCTGCGCTATCGTGCATCCATTTGCTTAAGTTTGAGGCAGCTCTGAGTTCCTGTTTTGCTTTCTACCCTTCCTTGCAGTCACTTTTGGCATCACCACGCTGTGCTGTAGCTTTGTCACATGGGAGGACGAGGATGGAGTGCTGCACTGGGGCCAAGTGCAGATTGAACACAGTGCTGCATCTCTGTATGTGCTGTGATTGAAGTGTAGGTCATAGCAGGGGTGGAGGAGCCAGCAGAAGAGAAGTCACTTCCAGCTTGTGTCCCCAAGCACAGCTCTGCAGCGTCTGCTCTGCTGTTGCTCACAGCTACTGCAAAAAAGGGGCAGATTTGCTTTGGAGCTGCCCTGGCTAGGAAGGCAGGAGGTGACCTGGGTGGTGTATCAAACGCAGTGCCCAGCAGCTGCCTTGTCACAGCTACCTTTCTGTTCTGCCAAGCTGCTTCCCAGTCTGCGGGTGTTTTAATGAGGCTGTGTTTAAAGCCCTTCTTTTCAGCTTGCTTTGCTCATCTGGGCTTGTTTTCCATCCGATCATGCGGTAGTGATCTGGACAGGCAGTAAAAGCATCCGCTGCGCCCAAACGGCCCCGAGTTGGACAAACGGGGTTTGTTTGTGTGGTGTAACCCCTGGCAACAGACTTTGGGCCATTTCCCTGACAGCCGTTGACTCACAGTTGGCCGAGGGGTGGCTGCAGCCTGTGGGTGCACATGGGAAACTTTGCATGCGACCGAGGCATTGCAAACAGCAGCACGGTGGCCATTAAGCATCCCCAGAGAGCACTGTGCGCTGCCTTTGCTGCAGGTGATGGTGGTGCTGCAGGGCTGAGTGAAGCTGCCAAGCCTCGACCCAATGCCTTTTTCCCTTCTGATTCCTTGGGATCGTTTACATGATGAAAGGACTGAAACAAAGCATTTTTATCTCTGCAGTTGAAAGCACGGTGATGGACAGAGCTTCGTTCTGACTCCTGAATAATGCAGAGCTTCTTTCCAGCCCTCCTCTTTCATCTCAGGGGTGACACTGCAGACTGTCAGTGTAATTAGGAATTGCTGTGTGCTTCTTTGTTGCAGAGCGACCGTCTTCTGATCAAAGGTGGGAAGATTGTCAATGACGACCAGTCTTTCTATGCAGACATCTACATGGAAGATGGGCTCATCAAGTAAGTGAACGCGATGGCATGCTGTGACCGGAGTGTGGGGAAAGGCACTGCTTGGACCCTCAGCACGTTGGGTTGGGTTGCCAAGAGAAGTGAGTATTTCACTCACATACACACTGATCGATGCAGGAGCCTTACGAACTCAACCGAGCTGATCTGGCATTCGAGTGTGGGTTGAAGGAGGTGCTTTAAATGTGCTTAATTTTAGCCATGCGAACAGCCCCATGCTGAGATGGCACATATGTTTGGAGTTATCTGTGTTGTACAGTGAGCTGAGTTATGACTGAAGGCATTTTGAATGCAGGATTCAGTACCCGGATGCCTTTAATTCTGTTCTAGGGCAGGAAATTGGACTGAGGTGACCCCTCGGGGTCTCTTACAGTGCTGTTTTTTGCTATTCAGTGATGCAGGGATCAATCCGAAATCCCTTTGAGTTAAAGAGGGTGCTGCTGTTTGTGGACATACCTCTTCCCAGCGCATTTCTGTGTTTGCATTCCCAAAACATGCATTTCTGACACGTTAAATAGATCAGAGGTTTCTTAGGAAAATTACACTTAGGAAAAAAGCGGCCGAGCCAGAGGTTACAAACAAGGAGTTTTCCTGTTCTGGCTCTCACAGGCAGCACATGTGCTTTGTTCATCAAGGTTAGAAGTTAGAGGAGCCATCCACAAGCAGCTCGTTAATTGCCCCATGTCACCCACCATTGTGTTTTTCACAACCAGCGGGTGAGAAGAGCTCCCACCAGCACTGCATGTCCTCCTGTTGATGCTACATGATACCTGTGCATGGAAGGAGAGTACAGAGGCCAGAGTTCTTCTGTGCTTCCAAACCTGTTAACATCCATCTTGCTGCTGGATAGCCAGCACTGGGTGTTGCGTTGCCACTTGGTGACCCGCTCCTGTCCTAGCAGAGCTGCTTGCTTGTTGTGCTTGGTCCCTTCTCCAGCTGGCTGCCAGTGTGTCTCCAGCTTTTCCTTCCTCTTAAACCTAATGTTCCCCCCAGGTCCCGAAATAATTGCGTGCTTTGCTCTCAATTATGCAGCTGCTTCAAGGGGAAGAATAAAACTGTATCAGCTGGGTCTGCCAGCCCTGTGCTTTGCTTTATATGGAAAAGGAAAACAGTGGCTGGGTTCAGCGGCGCAGGGTGTGTGTTTGCAGAGCGTGTGCCTCGTCTGCTGTCTGTCTGACCTGTTTGCAACCTGTGCACCAGGCAAATAGGAGAGAATCTCATCGTGCCCGGAGGAGTGAAAACCATCGAAGCCCACGGCAGGATGGTGATTCCTGGAGGGATTGATGTTCACACCCGCTTCCAGATGCCAGAGCAGGGGATGACTTCTGCTGATGACTTCTTCCAGGGGACCAAGGCTGCACTGGCTGGGGGCACCACCATGATCAGTAAGCTGGCTGCTTCTCTCTTCCAGGAGAGCTTTACCTTTCTCCAGTGGTAACTAGAAAGCCTGCACAGAGGCAGTGAGGGGTGTACCAGCAGCAGGGGATTTCCCGTGGCTGGTCAGGTTGCTGAGCAAAGCTTGTGTAGGGGCAGGGAGTGGGGATGAAACACTGCAGTCTCCACATCTGCAGCTGTCATCCACTTCCCTCCTGCTGTCCCTGCTGGCACAGTTTGACTTTGGTACTTTGTGACTTCGCTGCTTTCCCTGTAGGTCTGCTCCTACTAAAAGCGGCCTGACTTTGAGCTCTGGCTCCAGTATGAGCAGCACCTCGGACACCCTGTGCCTGTTCCCTTCCTCAGTGATGTCCAAGGTTTGTGCTCACTCACCTGTAGAGCTCAGCCTTTCTGGAACAGCAGTTGCTGCATTTACAGTGAGAGAAAGGACAGCAGCATCATGCAGGGCTGTCAGGGGAAGGGTCGATGTCTGTAGCGCAGTTCTTGCTGAGCAGCTGCATGCCGATGTGTCTTCAAAACCTGGGCCACTTATTTGAGGGTTTGCATGATCCCAATCTGACACACAATTTTGGCACTGGGGTTTTCGAATCATCAATTAAGTGCTGTTCCTTTTGTGCTCATATCCTCTTTTGGAGGAAGACAGAAATCAGGAAATGAAAACATCTCAAAATAAAGACAGGCAGATGGACTGGGTGTCCTGCAGGGTCAGGCACCCATCGTGTTCCTCTCTGTTTCTCCAGTGTCTCCTAGGTGACTTCCAAACTATCTGACCCCACTGACACTGGCTGCAGAAGTTTGGTGTTGCCTTTGTTTGGGCTGCAGGTTTGGAAAAAGAGAAAATAAAGCACTGCAGTGCAATTGGTCACATGTAAACCAGGGCATCCTGCAGCGTGTTGCTGCACGTGGCAATGAGGGACAAAGGTGTAAAGCAGCCCAATATCTGAACACTGCATTTTTTTTTTCCTGCACTCTGAGGTGCTGCCATTCCACAGGAGGGGAGCTGAGATGCAGAGAAATGAAAGAATACAAATCAGAAGTTCTGGTGGCTTTTGTCCCATCCAGGTGTATACAAGGGGATGTGAGGCACAGCCAGGAGCTGTCCTCGCTCTCCTTGGTTCAAGCCCAGTTCCATATGATTGAGAACATCCTCAGCTCTTCGAGAAGAGCTCTCTGAACCCTGTCCCAACTGGGGGGGGGCTGGGATTGTCTGACACTGGGAGTAGGAGCCACTGGTGCCAATGAGCCAGACTCTATTTTGGAAATTGAGCTTGTTCTGGGCCTGGCCCACACTGAATGATGTGTGAACGTGGTCAGGAAGTAACCTGGGAAGTTATTTTTCATCATGTTACCAACTCAGAGCATGAAGTTTGAGTGTGGAGATAACCTCATGCATTCAGGGAATGTAAACTGGGAATGCAGCTGTGGATATTCTCAATTTTATCACTAATATCCATTTTTCCCCTCTAAATCTTTGCTGTCAATCTAAGTTAATATGGCTTAAATGGGATTTGCTTTCCAGCTTCAGTCCATTGACTTTGTTTAGTTGGCTGTCTGTGTTGTTAGCACACCTGGTTCACGTTGTCCACTTGAGTCATCGCTTTGTTCTTCCTTGCTAAGTTGAATTAGATCAAAATAACTTTCCCTGTCGTTTGTGTCTGGGCTCTGACAGCATTATTTCCCTCCGTGGAACCATTGTGAGCAGAAAGTCAAGTTTTCTAAAGCAGCCCTTTACTTCAGAGGGATCAGCTGGGTCCCAGTTGTACTTCAGAAGTGCTTAAGCCTCTCTGTTTGCACACAAGTTGGTTGGCTTTATGACTGCAGTACCTGAATGTCTGTGTGATCGTGCTCATAACGTGACTCTGAGTTGGCGAAACTGGAGAAAAGTCCCCCTTTAGAGCTTCCCCCATGCTTCCCAATCTCATCTGTATGTTTTTCTCCCCTGGTTTGCCTGGGTTGGCTGTGCTGTCTCTTTCAGCTCGAATCGCATGAACGTTGTCCCTTTAATTCTCACATGGGCTGCATCCGAGGGAAGCACGCAGGAATTCCAGAATGTAATCTATTGTTTCCAAGCCGTGTTCCTATTTACTTCCCCTTCACAGTAATCTCATTGCTGCACATCCACGATGGGAACATTGGGTTATTGATGGGTATTAAACAGTGCAGCCCCGTTTTCTGCCCAGCCCTTCTCTTCCTGAGCTCTCTCCTCTCACAAATTGGGGCCGATTTCTGAGCAGGAATTCCTGCTGTGATGCTTCTGTCTCTGCCCCCCAGTGCCAAAGGCACATTGTGAGGCTCCAGCTGGCCTGGCTGGCATGCAAAGAAGCAAAACCAGGTTTGCTGTGCGAGGCTGAAGTGAGGCACCGTGATGCAATTATTCTTCTGAAAGCGTCATTTGCTGCACCCCCTTTTTCCATCCCTGCCTTAAAACAGCATTGCTGTGGGTTGTGTCAGCAGAGGGCGAACAGCACTGCGTGTCTCAGGAGAATATTGCTTTGGGAAGACTTGGATTCTGGCCCATTTCTAACGTTGGAATGAAGTGGTTGAGGGGAGAAGGATTCCAGGATGATCCGCAGCTGACTTTGGAAGAGGAGGGCGTATGGGGCTGTAGCTCGTCCAGCTTCCCTGAGCTCCCCCTTTTTCTGTATTGGTAGGACAGGGGAGGGTGGCATTAAGTTGTGCCAGGCTGGGTGTTAGGGACAATTTGTTCTCTGATAGAGCAGTGGTGCAGTGGCTCAGCTGCCCAGGGGGCGCTGGGGTCATCGTCTGCAGAGCTGTTCTATGGAGATGTTGCACTGGGGGTCAGTGGCACTGTGGAGCTTGGTGGTCTCAGAGGTCTTTCCAGCCATAGGGATTCCATGTTGTGTGGAAAGAGAATGATCCTCTGGAGTTTGGGAAAGGGCTCAGCCTGAAGTTGTTCTTTACAAGTATTTTTCTCACCTGTGTAGCCTATGGAGTTTATGTCGAGCTAAAGATGGCATTTGTGGGCACCCTTTGTCTTGGCCTGAGAGAGGCTGATGCCCTCAGGCGTTCCCTGGAGCTACTGGAGAAGTTAAGAGCAGGGTGGTCTCTTAAAGCCCTGCAGTCGTTTTGTTGCTTATTGGTTGTGATGGGCGAAATCCCCTTCGACACCCACAGTCTGACTCCCCCTGACTTCAGCAGAGGCAGGATTTCCCCTCTGCTTCTTACCCTGCAGAAAGGACAAAGCTGAGCTGTGTGTATTTATGGGCTCCCTGATCCTCTGGTCTGTTGAATGTCCCACGGCAGCTCCCACACACATTTAGTTCCCCCCAATGCTGCTGCTTCCTGGGTATCTGCAGTCCTTGAATCCAACTGCTTGCTAACATTGCCTGTGTTGACTCAGTCAACCGCTGTTATAATCATAGGGAGAAATTACAGTGAAGAGAAATTATAGCTCTGTTTGGCTTGGTGACTTGGGAGCCAGCTGCCTTTTGAACTTGACTAGCAGTTACCCTAATAACATGGAGAACATGCACTTGGGATATGAGCTTTGTATCTGGGGAGGTTCAGAACAAGAAGGGGAACTTTGAATGGAATGCACTCAGCTTCTTAATGTTTTACCCTGCTGTTAAAGGGAGGGATGGAGCAGGATGGCAGGGCTCCTCAGGAGAGTGCTGGCTGCTGGGCTCCACTCAGCAGTGCAAGCAAGGTGACTTCACAGCTCCTGGGTCGTCCTGAGGGATCCCCATCTCGCAGTTCATCAGCTTAGAAGGGTGATCCCAACCTACTATGGTGCCTCACCTCTCAGTTCTTGGACTTCAGAAATGCAAGTGTAATAGAGGGAGGTTGGAGAAGGGCTTAAGGAAGGGCCAGGCAGCATTCTGGGGCAATGGCAAGCTGGCACAGTGTGTGTTAGATCCACACATGGAGATCACCTACAGTCCCACTGGTTGCTGGGTTGCTGTGAGGGTTAGTCCTGTCCTGGTAGAGAGGAAGAGTCTGGATGGTGGGCAGAGGAAAAGGATGGAAACAGAGGGAGAGAGGTGACCCAGCAGTCATGCACAGAGCATAAGCCAAGCAATTGAGCCCGAGGGCAGTGGCCACAAAGCTGCAGCGCCTCACCTGATCATAGAATGGTTTGGGTTGGAAGAGACCTTACGGGTCATTTAGTCCACCCCCCCTGCAATGAGTGGGGAACCTATGGCTGTGTATGTGTGCATTGCATTGTTGTACAGAGACGAGCCTGAATTTTGCTCCTTTTTGCACCCAGAAGCAAAGATGAAGAGGAACTGTGCAGTGAGGGACACCAGGCCAGGCAGCGGCACATGCCTGCTTCACCTCCCGCAGCTGCTGGCAGTTCTGCAGCAGAGAAATGTTTAATTCTCTAGAAATGTAATGGAAACATCCACTTGTTTGGAAGTTGGATGTTTGTGTGGGGAGAGGCTTCTCTTGGATGCTGGTATTAAGATAATGTTGTGACCACACAGGAGTACAAAGTCCCTCCGGCCGTTTCTCTCCTCTCTCCAGTTCTCAGTGCCTTTCGTACCCCCCTGCTCTTTGGGCTCTGCACCAATTCATGCTTAACCTCCCTTGCTTTGCTGCCCTCCAGCTCCCTGCTGATGCATTTGGTGCTTTCATTCAGAGCAGGCTTAAAATCATTCATGAGAAAGTCTGTCTGCATGCAGGGATGGGCAGTCCCCTGTGGTGTGCTGCTCTGCTCCAGCTTTAAGCCCCTCTAAGTCCATTAGGCATTGTGGTACCCATGGGCTGACAGCCTGCTCTGCTGCCCGTGCTTCCTGCTGTCCCCTCTTTGCTTTCTGCTGGGTGGGATTGTGCCTGTTGTTCTGCTGGGATTTGCTAAGAGGTCTCTCTGGAGCCAATCTGCCAAGTCCTTGATGTCTCTTGCCAGTTAGCACAGAAGGAAGCAGCTGCTCAGCCCTCGACATACGTTGTGTGTTGTTCCGTGTGTTGGATTCCCTTTGGGCTGCAGCAGTTGTAGCATCTTTGCTGCTGCTGTGAAGAGCAATTAAGA